GCACGCGCACTCACGTACACGCGCACGTACACGCACACGCACACACGCCGCACACTCGTTGAAGTAGATGTATATATAACAGGTAGGCCTATTGCTTTCGACGGAAATATGGTTTAATTACGATTCTTTATAAGCCTATTATCCAGGGTACAGTAAATGCAGGAGTAAATAATCACAAAGGTGTGATTTTTAGTCTTGATAAATGTTTAAAATAGCACGGCTATACAGCGACAGAGATACAGAAAGAGAGAGCGAGAGAGAGAGAGAGAGAGAGAGAGAGATAGAAAGAGAGAGAGAGAGAGAGAGAGAGAGAGAGAGAGAGAGAAACAGTGGCAGTGACAGATGATAGAGAGAGAGAGAGAAACTGAGGGAGGCAGAGACAGAGAGAGAGAGCGAAAAAAAAGAGAGAGATCCATCAAACTCCACTCCTTCACAGCTAGCGATTGCGTATATCAAATCAAATTGTAAAAGAAGGGGGGTGCGGGACCATTCCTGCTAATTGGAGCCTATAAATATTGACACGTCTAATATTTATTGCTTGGCAAAGTAATCTTTTAGCACCTGGTTAATAGAACCCCGTAATATTTGGCTCATTCTTGCTGTTCGAGCAAACATTCCTCCCTTTATTTGTCTATACCCCTCACGTTAGGTTGAGTACCACCATTAATAGTAGTTAATGTACCTTATATAGCGCAGATGATAAGCGTCAGTTTTTATTTTATTATAAGGTTGTCGTTTTAGTTAGAGAGTTTCTGATATGAAATAGGATAATTTAATTTTAAAGCTAATTAACATTTTAATGCATTGCTATATGATTACTACCTAGCCGAGGCCATAGACTACTCCATAGGCTTTTTTTGAGGTTGTCGGTTTAGTTTTAGAGCTGTGAGGTGCGAGCTAGGATGTAGTATGTAGGTCTATATGTATATATTTTGTATGTGTCAAGTTACTAATAAAAGTCACCATCGTTACATACCGTCTCGCTCTACAATCTTCTACGCCTGCTGCAAGATCTCGTGCACGCTACAGTCATGCACTACAAACATCGGCAGGAACGCATACTTGCCACGATTCTACGAGACTGTACCGTGCCCTATCATGACAATCCTACCAAGATCCGAGGTCTCGACATTTTCCATATAATAATGGCTATTTGACAGTGGCTTTTAGAGATTGGAGCAAGATCGCGTAGTTGTTCGGCAAAATAAACACGTGTAGACGTAAAATATGGCATTCTAACGGATTACGGCGTACACGGACAATGGTGGACATTGTGGACAATTTCAAAATAGTGGAAGGGGCAATGATTGTCAAACCATCGCGTGCGTAGGTAATCATGGCATACAGCGAGGAGCGAGCTTTTTTAATTGCTGCTTATAAAACAGATTATCGACCACGGGCATTTGACACGACCTTTTGGAGGCTGGACAGATCGCCGAATAAGGTCATAAGGTCGTAGGTTCTATATAGGTTTTTCGACGCATGGGCGTAACTAAATTCTCTTGCGAATATAGGTCGCGCTATAATGCGATATTTTTAGATACCTGCTAGACACTATATATAATTCTATAATCTCTATCTCTATAAATTAAGCGACTCAAGTATTTTTACACCCAGCACCGTATCACGATTTAGCGACATGGTTCCACACTCTGTCTCAATGGTATCGTTAGCTGATAGCTCGCTTCGAAATCTCTGCCCAATGGGAATCACAAACTAAAAGACAGGTCTTTCATTGAAGCCGTCACATAGATTTCCCAGTTATAACTGACATAACGATAACGTAGTTTGTGGCCATAAAAATCTTGACAATCCAGTCTTTATCGAGTTTGGGTATTTAAACGCCGTGTTTTCGACGCATGGCGTAGACTCGTTGCAACTGTCTCTATTCTCTTGCGAATATAGGTCGCGCTATAATGGGATATTTTTAAAGTACCTGGCTAGACACTATATATAATCTATAATATATATCTCTATAAATTAAGGACTCTAGTATTTTTACACCAGCACCGTATCACGATTTAGCGACATGGTTCCACACTCAATGGTATCGTTAGCTGATAGCTCGCTTTGAAATCTCTGCCCAATGCAATGGAAATCACAAAACTAAAAGGCAGGTCTTTCATTGAAGCCGTCAGATAGATTTCCCACAGTTATAACTGACATACAGAGGAAACGCAGAATACGTAGACGTTTACAGCCGGACAGAGCATAGTCACTCGCGCTGCTTCCTGCGCTTGCGTCGGTAAATAACGCCTGTTGTAAAAAGGTAAATTATTAGCACTGTGGCAGAATAATCCGTGCAGATACGTGTAAGAATTCAGAAAATATTTATAGCCAAACATTCGGTAAGATTGCTTGATCTTAATAAGTAACAGCTTACAGGTTGTTCTGCTTAATGTCTTGCAATTATAAACGCCGTGTACACACTCGTCTACGCGTCAATAAACGTTAACATCTTTTCCTACTTGCAGGGAATCTTCAAATTTTGTGCAAGATGGCAGGAAAAAACATAGTGTCTGGTAAATCATCAGAGAATGGAGTGATTCAGTCATCGAGAAAGCCTGCGATGAGAAAAGCTCGTGGCAACTGGACAGGATCGCTGGATTTCTTCCTGAGCTGTGTGGGCTGTGCAGTCGGACTCGGTAACATCTGGCGCTGCTTCCCTTACATTTGCTTTACAAGTGGGAGCGTAAGTGATGCATGTAATAGAAGAAAAACGAAACCGCCGGTTTGTGATTCTGTCCTAAAGATGTGGAAAAGTCTATTATAATGCAGGCGATTAGGATACTATAGCTTTACATCACCTTGTTAAATATATTGGAAAAATATCATATGTTTAATTGAACGTAACAATAATTTTGTGAATTCAACAAATGGAAAACATTTTTCATAGATGAAAATTTGACAGCAACCATAAGTTTGTACGTCGTAATTTAGAAGCATGCCGGTTTGAACGTCCTGAGTGGGAGGCGTTGTTAACATCGTACCGACCCTGATGTTAGGTATGTTCATACACAGGAGCCTTTCTCATCCGTACCTGATAGCACTCGCTGTGTGCGGATTGCCTCTGTTCTTCCTAGATGTAGGCCTAGGCCAGTTTTCAAGCAGTGGAGGAATTTCATTGTGGAACATAAGTCCTATATTTAAGGGTGAACGACATTAGTCTAATTCTTATTGAAATACTTCCCATATCTACATATTTTCAAACGGTAGGGTTATAATTGATTGAAAATTTTTATCGGATCTCTATAGATCACAGGAAAATAAAGTTAATCTGAGCTGGATCCATAATAATTCATAAATAATAATAAATAATTATAATATTATGGACCTAACTCAGATTAACTTTATTTTCCTTTCAGGTAAGATTATAGTTCGTCTTCAATTCATAGATCTCTTTTATAAATCTTGAAGATTGTCGTTCTCAAATGTAGTAGGTGTCGTTTCGATGATATTGGTGTCAGTGCTGTATTGCGTCCTAATACAACCTGATCATGGCCTACATCCTCTTCTACTTGGGGATGTCCTTCACGAAGCTATTGCCGTGGGGGACGTGCATGAATCCGTGGAACACTGCCGCATTCTGCAGGCGTGGCTACGATCTCCTCGGCAGCTCTAAACATGTCCGGTGGAGTCGTAACCAGTCCGCAGCTTGTAGACGCCATGATGGACAACATTACAGCAGACGCGCGGCACAGCTAACATCAGCGGGTCGTACCAGAAGTTCGTCGGCGACGGAGGAATTCTTTAGTACGTGATAGTTTTGCTTTGTTCTTTTGCTCTTAATATATTCACAACCGTAGTGACATTATAATATTTTATATTGGTTATCCATGTATGCGCGCAGGTGTTCCATATAGGGCCATCTCTTAATTTAATATGCAATATATATATCTACCAATTCTTTCTCAGCATTTTGTCGAGCTATACGTGCTCGCATCTCATTCTTAAAGAGTAAAAGTACAATTTTTTAAACTCGACATGCAGCAATTTATATTGGAGATCTCTGAAGGGCTTCACGACTTGGTGGCTTCACTGGAAGCTGCTGCTCGCTTACTGCATTGGCTGCTTCATCGTTCTCGTCTGCCTCTCTAAGGGCATCAAATCAACGGGAAAGGTACAATTAGCGGCATCGGCAAAGTTGGTGAAACAGCATGGTTTCAAATATTGTTGTATTCTGCAGTAGATTTTGTTGCATATATTACTATGGTTTTATTACAAGCACACACGTTCGATGAACTCTGTTTTGTATTTGTTTTGATTGTGCAGGTGGTGTACTTTACCGTTACCTTCCCTTATGTGATTCTCCTTATACTGCTGTGTGAGAGGTGTGACCCTGCGGGAGCTGCCAATGGCATCAAGTTTTATCTTTACCGAACATGGGAGGCTCTGCTTGAATTTAGGGTTCGTTCGCCCAACAACTCAGCTCACCAATAATGTTGTTAATAATTACGATGAAAGTTTCGCGTAGTCTGCTACATCTTCAATTACGGATATGTATACAGACAATGTATACACACTAACAGACATGTAACACACTAACAAATGTATACAAATATAACTTGATATATCTTGTCAGCTTTTATAGTTTTCAGGTGTGGGGTTTGGCCTTTGGGCAGATATTCTACTCACTCGACCAGGCTGGGGTTGTGTGTTACGATGGCATCATCCAACCGCTTTCCACAACAACATGTTAATGTATGAGCTATTGTTACTCCGTACCCAAATCAAACAAATGCAATAAATGTATCTCAATATTATATTGCTTTCGTTATAGTCTTTTGCAACTGCTTATGAATATTGAATCATTATCTGAATTTTTCGAGGTTCAAAATGAGTAAAAAAATCAAAAATGATCCGTTTGTAGCTTTAATATACTATTGAGACCAAATTTGATGTCTGTTGATTTATGAGCATATAAACGATGACTTGTTGCTTGGACTGTGGATACACGATAATAATGTGTGATGCGTGGACATAATATGTTGTTACTTTAGAGAGTGTTACCTGGTACCGGTCGTGAACAGTGCTACCAGTCTCCTTGCTGGCTTCGTCGTCTTCTCTGTCCTTGGATATATGGCGGAAGTCGCTCAAGTTGACATTAAAGACATCGTTACTGGCGGTAGGTAGCTTAGTTTGTGTATGTGTGTGTGTGCGGTGCGTGCTACCCCCGTGCTGCCTGCCGGGGTGTGCGTGCCGTGCGATACTGTGTCGTTGGGTTGTTGTGCGTGGGCGTGCGTGTGTGTCGTGCGTGCGTACGTGCGTGTGTGTGTTTGTGTTTGTATGCGCGCGCAATTGTGTGTGTGTGTGTGTGTGTGTGTGTGTGTGTGTGTGTGTTTGTATGCGCGCGCATATGTGTGTGCCACGCACGCCATGAATAGCCACGCATTTTGCAAATTAAAGTTCTACATATATAAAAGTGTGCGAATCTCTCTCTTATGAATTTGTTTACAGGTCCTGGTCTAGCGTTTATAGCATACCCTGAAGCAATAACACACCTGGCGATCTCTCCGCTGTGGAGTGTTCTATTCTTCTTCATGTTGTTCACGGTGTCGCTGGATACTCAGGTTAAAGCCTATATTTAAATTAACAATCCAATGTTTTGCGAATGTAGGCTACTCCACTGGCTAATCATCCTTTGCTATTAGAAATTCGGTCTCAGAACAAAAGATATAAATGGTTGAGCTAAGGTTTGGGATATCTCGTCCAGGGTACCGTTCCACATGTATTTCGTATCGGGTTCTTAAACTGTATTTTACACATAGCGTATGGGAAAGTCGCAATACATGCCGTCTCTTATTATTAAACCGTTATACGTTTCTCTTACTTTCGTTAGCGACGATTCCTGATCCATTTTACAGTTTGTATCTCTAGAGACAGTTATCACCTCTATTAGAGACATCCTGCCATCAAGGTTTAAGGAGAGAAAGGTGTTGCTTACGTTGATAATGTGCGGATTATCGTTTCTACTTGGACTGCCATTAACAACACGAGTACGTTCTACCGATTCTTATCTTTCCGTTCTGTACAGTGAAGATCGACGATGGCGTATCTGTCAAGTGCACTCACCGACCATGTTCATGATGTGACGTTTGATTTATCAAAAGAGACGTACGATGTTAATCGGACGGGCTGAAACTTCACGTTCACGATTCATGCGCCTTCCTGCGTATTTTGTTCAGTGGCCGAAATTAAAATCGCTAATGTTGAGAAGCATTCAGCTATATTTATAGCTGATCGGTATTGCTGGTTACATTGAAACCGTTTGCTTTATTGCTGTTACAGGGTGGCTCGTACATTTTCATACTCATAGACTGGTACTGCTTAGGAATACCGGCTATGTGTCTGGCTATAGCAGAAGTGCTTGGGGGTGTATGTGTGTGTGTATGTGTGTGTGTGTGTGTGTGTGTGTGTGTGTGTGTGTGTGTGTGTGTGTGTGTGTGTGTGTGTGTGTGTGTGTGTGTGTGTGTGTGTGTGCTGTGTGTGTGTGTGTGTGTGTGTGTGTGTGTGTGTGTGTGTGTG